GGTTATGTTTGCATAGCGAGGAAAGGAATGATGTATAATACTTCTGTAGGAGAATTAACTTGTCTAGGGCAAAAAGCTTATGATGATGATACAAAGAATACAACTTGGTGGTCGGCTTCAAATGTCTCAGAACCATCTAACCCGTTTGCAAGATATGCCAATTTAAAGGACGTATGGTTTGATCTATCCATCACATCTAACTGGAGAGCCCCAGCGAATTTGTACTGGATCTGTGGTAAGAAGGCCTATTCGGAGTTACCACAGGACTGGGAAGGGGCATGTGTGTTGGGTATGTTAAAACCATCCTTCTTCTTGTTGCCTATTGAAACAGGTGAGACTTTAGGTGTTAAAGTGTATGATGTGAATCATAGGAAGAAAAGGGGACCCATAGAGATAGGTGCCTGGGAAGATAATGAATGGCCTCCCCAGCGTATTATAGATTATTATGGGCCAGCCACGTGGGCAGAGGATGGTACCTTTGGTTATAGAACCCCTATTTATATGCTCAACCGCATTATAAGGTTACAGGCGGTGGTTGAGATCATTACTAACGAGACATCACAAGCGCTCAATCTTCTAGCGAAGCATAATACCAGGATGAGGACAGCAGTTTACCAAAATAGATTAGCCTTGGATTATCTTTTGGCAGTAGAGGGAGGTGTATGTGGGAAGTTTAACCTGAGCAATTGCTGTCTTCAAATAGATGACGAAGGGCAAGCAATAGCTGAGCTTACTAGCCATATGGTTAAACTAGCGCATGTGCCTACTCAGGTATGGAAAGGGTACAATCCAAGTAGTTGGTTTGGTAGCTGGTATGAGTGGTTTGGAGGGCTTAAGGCAGTGGTAGGTGGAGTCCTACTGATTTTAATGTTGTGTCTACTCCTGCCGTGTCTTATACCCTTAGTAGTTAGGTCTGTGCAAAGCCTGATAGAAAATATAGCAGAGAGGAAGGCTGCTGCACAGATAATGGCAATTTATAAATATAAGGCTCTAGATCAGGGAGAACCAATGCAGGAAGACGAGTGTTGAAGATTCACATCGTAGGATAAGTCTGGTCTGGTTCAAAGGTAACTTGTGGTGTATGCAAACCAAGGTTAAGTGATGCCTCAAGTAATTGTAAAATATCAAGAGGCATCAAAGGGGGGAATGTGGTGGAATCTCGGTAAAAATAAATTTAGTAGGCCGAGATTACCACGTGGCATGTGTACGTGCATATGCTGACGTATCGATCAGTTGGTTGCACGAGGCAAGATACGATCAGTAGTGTACGGAGCATGTGCAAGAATACAGGATGTAGTATTCCCCTCCTCCATTGTGCTGGACAAGCCATGCGGTCAAGCAGGAAGTTAATTCTTATTTGTAATGATTGGTCAAGAGAATGTGCGGGTGGAGCTTAATATGGGAGGAGTTATGTGCCTATATAGGGAGCCTGCACTATTGTTCAGGGCTCAGAACTTGCTGTATTTTTGGTGACATTAGTCCCTCTGAGTCCCGATCGGTGATCCAATAAAGAATCTCTTCCTTCCTGAAGAAACCTGTGTCCATCCCTCTGTGCTTTGCTTCCGTCAGTTTCTCCGGTATCACCAGGAGTGTTCTGGCGCCCTTAATGTGAGTAATCAAACCATTTGTACCAGGTACCAGTCACTTCCGCCAGTGAACTGGAAACTCCTGCTAGGAACCTTTGTAAACTCACCTAAGCTAAACCCGGTGTTCTATCAAAATTTCCCTACCCGTGCCACAGAGGTATGCCCTGCACCGTCAAACTTAGCTTAATGCAGAGAGCTTCCATCTTTTATTGAGGAGTTGACTTGTGCCCAGCAGATCTCAGTTGTCAAAACGTTAGCAAATGTTTTGACTATGTACACTGGGTGGGGAACCAGGGCACTCCACGCACCATAACCACTACAGTGCGCTGTCGTTTTTATGGTAAAGTCTAACTGCGCCTTTTGCTGTTACACATGGCTATCACAACACACCTCAAAATCCTGGCATGATTGATCAGCCTTCAGAGCATCCCCAGCCATCAAAAAAGTACTCTGCGAATCAAATCATGGCAAACAATATATTTCTCATTGCAACTTTGGGGGGCACTGCCCAACCCCGTCCTTATGGACCAACCTCCACTATTTATACTCAATGGCATGTGCACTAAGTATTCTGGGTGTGCAGCTGGATCGCTAGCTCGACTTAGAGTGTGACTCAGCTGCTGCAAGAGCCAGCAGGGAGATCAAAGTATCTCAACCTGTGCTTTCTCATTCCTATGAGGGATCTGTGGCTTTTGCAGCTGCTGATTCTGGTTGCTGTTTATTTCACCTGCTTTCATGAATGAACAAGCAACTTATACCTTAAATGATAGTGAATTAGGGATAGCAACACACGAGATGGACTTATAGACAACAAACTAGGCAACAGTGTGCAATGTCAATCAGCAGTTGCTATGGCCAGTATGGTATTGTCTTGTATAAATAGGGGAATTAATTCTCGGGATGAGAATATCATTTTGCCTCTTTATAAATCATTGGTAAGACCACATCTTTAATATGCTGTGCAATTTTGGGCACCTGTTCTAAAGAAGGATATTATGGCACTAGAAAAAGTGCAGAGACGGGCTACAAAATTAATAAAAGGAATGGAACATTTTAGCTTTGAAGAAAGGTTAAAGGACCACTCTAGGCACCCAGACCACTTCAGCTTAATGAAGTGGTCTGGGTGCCAGGTCCAGCTAGGGTTAACCCATTTTTTAATAAACATAGCAGTTTCAGAGTAACTGCTATGTTTATGAATGGGTTAAGCCTTCCCCCATTCCCTCTAGTGGCTGTCTCACTGACAGCCACTAGAGGCGCTTGCGTGCTTCTCACTGTGATTTTCACAGTGAGAGCACGCAAGCGTCCATAGGAAAGCATTATGAATGCTTTCCTATGTGACCGGCTGAATGCCGCGCAGCTCTGCCGCGCGTGCGCATTCAGCCGACGGGGAGGAGAGAAGGAGGATCGGAGGAGGAGGAGAGCTCCCCGCCCAGCGCTGGAAAAAGGTAAGTTTTAACCCCTTTCCCCTTTCCAGAGCCGGGCGGGAGGGGGACCCTGAGGGTGGGGGCACCCTCAGGGCACTATAGTGCCAGGAACACGAGTATGTTTTCCTGGCACTATAGTGGTCCTTTAACAAATTTAAACCTCTTTAGTTTAGAAAACGTGACCTCTGTCATAGATAAAAGGTACATAACGGGTTAAAACCTTTGCCTTAGTTAAGTCCTTCCCCGTCTGCAGGGATTAAAAGCTAAATTCTTCACTGTGTCTGCAGTTTCTGCAGATGTTTCTTCTTTCTCCTGAAACGTTACGTTTGCTTTAACCTTGTTGATAAGACTTTCAAATAAGTCATTGTTGCTTGTTTTTTGACACATGCGCAGTAGACTAATGCCATGTTATATACACAATGCTCTCCCATTAAAGATTGAGAAGATGATTTTGAACTACAATAAAGTGTCTGTGGTTTTATTATTGGTTCTCCCGAGTGCACGTATATCTAATTAGGAGCCCCTGGTTATCTCTCTTAGATGATTTATCCATCATAAATTTTCTATATCACCTCAAAGGGGATATGATAACATTACACAAATATATCCAGGGTCAATACAACCATTGTGTGGAAATCTATCCACAAACAGGACTATACATAGGACACGAGGTCATACATTTAGTCCGGAAGAAAGGAGATTTAGTCTAAGGCAAAGTAAAGTTTTTTTTACTGTAAGAACAATAAAGATGTGGAAATCTCTGCCCGAACAAGTGATTTTATCAGAGTTTGTACATATGTTTAAAAAGCAACTAAATGTATACTTGCAAAAACATAATATTAAATGAAATAATTTTTCAACTGTAGGGTAATAGGCTCATGATCCAAGGAGATATCTGACTGCCATTCTGAGTTCAAGAAGACTTTCCCCCCCTAGTTTGTTGTAAAATTGGAAGCGCTTCAATCTGGGGTTTTTACCTTCTTTTGGATCAACAGCAAAAAAAGATGTGAGGAAGGCTGAACTTGATGGACATATGTCTTTTTTAGCCTATGTAAATATGTAGCTATGTAGCTAAATTCTGGTATGCAGGTATTCTGTGTAAGCAGGAGTGGCAGCTCTTATACGGTGTTCCCACTCTCTCCCTGAACCTAGCCCAGCATCCACATGCTGGTACTTGTTAATGAGAGCATGATAGCAGACAGAGCTAGATGAGGGTAATGAGAGGCGCTGAAATGTAAATATACATTCAGATATGTGGCTTTATGAGAGAGACACATACAAATGGGGACAAAGGTATGCATATAAATTATTTGCATGTTTCACCTGATGCACTCAGCTAATGAAATGGCCCTGTATGGCAAGGCTTAGCTCGAAGGAGATAACAGAAACTCCTTGCAGGATCTCCTGGCACCAGGTGAGGCGGCTGTGAGCACCCCCTGGCACCCACTTAAGATGTTAAACCATTCTTAAACTATTTGACTACTTTCTCTGGGAGGATGCCAGGGCACACCTGCTGTAGTGGTTATGATTCTTGGAGTGTTCCTTTAATAAATAATGACCTTGCATGAAATTAAAAAAATTAGAAACCATTTCAGAGAAGGCACCCTAATGTGATATGCATATGGACATATGCTAAGGTTAACAAAAGTTGAAAAAAGGCAGAGCTGTGTCATTTCATTTGCAGGGGTTGCTAGATGAAAAAAGCATCTTCTTCGTTATTGTGAAATAAGTTATTTTGGGGGCCCTGTGATCTTAAAGTATGTGCAAGAATACAACCGTGATGAAGGCTCATTCACCAGGAACTGCAGATGAAGCCCCGGAATACAGATGATGGCACCCCCGAGAGAGATGTTTAAGTAAGTACATAGCTCCCAAATGTCCCTATTTAGAAGGCACAATACCTATCTTATGCCCAAATCCCTCTGTCTCTCTCTTCTGTACTGGTGTCCCTATTTTCTGGGAGCTCCATATTGTTGGTGTGTAACAGTGTGTAACACAGCTCTACAGCAATACTAGAAATTTGGGTTTAAGCCCTTAACCCCTTAAGGACTGAAGCAATTGTACAAGTTGTGATCAAAACAAAATGTAAACAAAAACTGGAATTTGCGCTATATGTCTGTTCAACCGTAATTCACCTATTTCATATTAAGTGCACCCACACTTATTATATATCATTTTGTTCGGGAGAAACAGGACTTTCATTTTACATCAACTATTCATATATATAACAATTTATTATGAATAAAATCTAAAAATGTGTGAGAAATTGAGATTTTGTTTTCATTTTTTTAGTTTTGCATGGCATTTTAACAGTGAATGTCATAATACTGTTAGCTTTTACTGCAATAAAATACACATATTTGTGTTCAGTGATGTCTCACACCTACCACAGTACCCCCCATGAACAGGTTTTATGGTGTTTTGAAATATTACAGGGCCAAACATAGCATGTTACATTTTTCAGTTTATACACAATGACATTTGCCAGGTTCGTAATATATATTTTATTTTTAACTTTTTATTTTTTTTAAGTATTTGTAATTTGTTTTTTAATAGATGTATATATATATATATATATATATATATATATATATATATATATATATATATATATATATATATATATACATATACACACACTGCTCAAAAAAATAAAGAACACTTAAACAAACACAATGTAACTCCAAGTCAATCACACTTCTGTGAAATCGAACTGTCCACTTAGGAAGCAACACTGAGTGACAATAGATTTCACATGCTGTTGTGCAAATGGGATAGTCAAGAGGTGGAAATTATAGGCAATTAGCAAGACACCCCCAATTAAGGAGTGGTTCTGCAGGTGGTGACCACAGACCACTTCTCAGTTTCTATGCTTCCTGGCTGATGTTTTGGTCCTTTTTGAATGCTGGCGGTGCTTTCACTCTGGTGGTAGCATGAGACTGAGTCTACAACCCACACAAGTGGCTCAGGTAGTGCAGCTCATCCAGGATGGCACATCAATGCGAGCTGTGGCAAGAAGGATTGCTGTGTCTGTCAGCGTAGTGTCCAGAGCATGGAGGTGCTACCAGGAGACAGGCCAGTACATCAGGAGACGTGGAGGAGGCCGTAGGAGGGCAACAACCCAGCAGCAGGACCGCTACCTCCGCCTTTGTGTAAGGAGGAACAGAAAGAGCACTGCCAGAGCCCTGCAAAATGACCTCCAGCAGGCCACAAATGTGCAAGTGTCTGCTCAAACGGTCAGAAACAGACTCCATGAGGGTGATATAAGGGCCCGACGTCCACAGGTTCGGGTTGTGCTTACAGCCTAACACCGTGCAGGACGTTTGGCATTTGCCAGAGAACACCAAGATTGGCAAATTCGCCACTGGCGCCCTGTGCTCTTCACAGATGAAAGCAGGTTCACACTGAGCACATGTGACAGACGTGACAGAGTCTGGAGACGTCGTGGAGAACGTTCTGCTGCCTGCAACAGCCTTACCGGTTTGGCAGTGGGTCAGTAATGATGTGGGGTGGCATTTCTTTGAGGGGCCGCACAGCCCTCCATGTGCTCGCCAGAGGTTGCCTGACTACCATTAGGTACCGAGATGAGATCCTCAGACCCCTTATGAGACCATATGCTGGTGCGGTTGGCCCTGGGTTCCTCCTAATGCAAGACAATGCTAGATCTCATGTGGATGGAGTGTGTCAGCAGTTCCTGCAAGACAAAGGCATTGATGCTATGGACTGGCCCGCCCGTTCCCCAGACCTGAATCCAATTGAGCACATCTGGGACTTCATGTCTCGCTCCATCCACCAACGTCACGTTGCACCACAGACTGTCCAGGAGTTGGCAGATGCTTTAGTCCAGGTCTGGGAGGAGATCCCTCAGGAGACCATCCGCCACCTCATCAGAAGCATGCACAGGCATACAGGCACGTATGGTCATACAGGCACGTGGAGGCCACACACACTACTGAGCCTCATTTTGACTTGTTTTAAGGACATTACATCAAAGTTGGATCAGCCTGTAGTGTGTTTTTCCACTTTAATTTTGAGTGTGACTCCAAATCCAGACCTCCATGGGCTGAAAAATTTGATTTCCATTTTTTTATTTTTGTGTGATTTTGTTGTCAGCACATTCAACTATGTAAAGGACAAAGTATTTCAGAAGAATATTTAATTCATTCAGATCTAGGATGTGTTATTTTTGTGTTCCCTTTATTTTTTTGAGCAGTGTATGTGTGTGTATATATTATATGTATGTGTGTAATTTTATTCTAAGTGTATTTTTATATTGATATATTTATATATATATATATTTTTAAAATACACTTAGGATTACATGATATATATACATATATTATACATATCCACGTGGGTCCAGCACTCACTCTCATGGTCTTATGTTTGCCTGTGTGCTTACTTCAGCCAAAATATATAATCCAAGGAATGTTCACAGGACTCAATAGATAAAACTTAAATCTTTTATTGTGCAATTAAAATACCAAAATAGTGTCAACATTTCAGTCCACTGGTGGACTTTTTTCAAGACAAGTGTTCATGTGAAAGGGTGATTAGGAAACAAAATATGTGATGTAATATGTGACATGAGAAATTACTGCTCGCTTAGGGTAAACTAAAGTGTTTGTGAAATAACTCCTCTATAGTCACTTAATAACTAATTTAGCTAAGCTTATATTGTGTGCAGGGCCGGTGCAAGGATTCCTACCGCCCTAGTCAAAGATCCATTTTGCCGCCCCCTCATGAAAGCAAATAAAATCTCACAGAGGTTTATTCACTAAACTCTGAATTGCAGGGAGTTGAAAACCAAAATGCAAAGTTTAAGCAAAAACAGCTAAACTGACTGTAGCCAAATTGGAGAATTCTTCTACATCAACTATTTTGGCCTAACTTTTGCCATATGGTTTCCAGTAAGGTCTGCCTAATGCACACATACTGCTTAATGCACACACCCATGCAGCCACACTGCTTAATACCTACATCCATAAAAACACACTGCCAGTGTCTAATACATGCATCCATAAACACACACTGCCAGTGCTAATACATGCATCCATATACACATACTGCTTAATACCTACATCCATACACACATACAGCCCAAGATATGCATCCATGCACACATACTGCCTAATACCTACATCCATACACACATACTGCTACATACATTGTACATTGAAAACATAATTTATCGCTGTGATAAATGAATGCATTTGAAAAATGTAATTTATAATAAGACTAGCACAGACTATTGTCAAACACTCACACACTCACTGACAGACACACACACACACACAGACACTTACTGACATACATACAATCACTTACTGACAGACACACACAGGCAGACACTCACTGACAGACAGACACACACACACAGAAACATATACACACTCACTGACAGTCAAACACACAGACACTCACTGACACAGATTCACACAATTGTATTTTTTGAGGCCCATCCAGCCTCCCTACCTGAGGTCCAGTGTGGGATTCCTACTGCCCGCTGTTTAGTATGCCGGACCAGAACTACACCATATTCCGGCTCCCAGTATCACAGAGGGCGCGTGAGGGGGCTTCCCCCGCCGCCTGCCTTCTCCTTCCCCTCTCCTCTGGTCACCAGCATTTATCGGCAGAGCAGGCACCTGCCATCATGGTAAGCAGGTGCCTGCTCTGCCTTTACCTAGGACAGCTTCTGGGGCACCCTTAGGTGGCCAGATGGACACCTCCTGCATTCCCTGTGACAGGGCTCTTGGTGCCCCCATTTTCGGGACGCCTGGAGGATTGGCCAGGCGCTGGGTGGGGGGGCCGGCTCAAGAGCCTCTCGCCCAGCGCTGCGGGCCAGACAGGGGCAGTCCACCAGGAAACATCAAGGTGGGCGCCCTCAGCAGGCCGGCACCCTAGGCGAATGCCTAGTTCGCCTAACGGTTGTGCCGCCCCTGACTGTGTGAAACTTAAGAGGACATAAAAAGAGGGGTGTCGGTTTGCGATTGTGGGGAGTATCACCTAAACCACTATTTTCCACAGTTAAAAAAAAACATGTTTACGTGAGTGAGTGAGTGAGTATATAGAGTGTACAAAATGTTTCCAAGTAATGGCAGGCAAATACAAATGGTTACAAAATCAGAACTAACATTGTATCATTCTTATTTTGCTGAAACAAGTTAGCAAATCATTTCTGAATGTCAAGAATTTGTATGTCAAGAATTTTGAACTCAAAGGCTTGCACGGAACAAATAAACAAGGTTTAAGTTTATGTGGGCAGCAAAAAAAACAAAACTTTTTTTTTCATAGAAATATAGGTTTCTTTTGAAAAGTAGAGTATAAAAAAAACAGCATCGATCTCTACTAAACCCAGTTCCCCCCCTTTATATTATATCCCAGTCCCCCCCCTCTATACTAAATACCATCACCCCATCTACTAAACCCCGGCCCTTGTTTAAAAAAAAATTTTAAAAAAAATTAGCCAACAAGCAGACTCCACTCACATTGCCGCTGCCAGTATGCGAATCCAGAATCCAGCCTCTGGTATATCCCCAATGGCGCCGTCCGCACCCTTTGCCAAAGCGGATCCTCCCGCTACTCCTTGAAACCTTGTAAAGGTGGAGCACCTTAACGTCACGTCGGAATGTGACGTGGCGTTGCGTGCCTCCATGCATTTCCAGGTCTTTCACTGTCCAGCCGGGGCCATCGCAAAACACTGACCAACACACACTCAGAGACAGACACACTCACTCACTCTCTGACAGACACACATACTCATTCTCTGACAGACACACACACACACACACACACACAGACAGACACAGACACTCTCTGACAGACACACACACTAACAGGCACACAAACACTGACACACACATTGACATGCTTGCTATACGTCATCATTATTTTCTATTAAATTCCCATAGGAAAGCATTTAAAGGGACACTCCAGGCACCCAGAACACTTCTGCCCATTTTCATAAACTGCAATATTTACGTTGCAGGGTTAACTCCCCCTTTAGTGGCTGTCTAATAGACAGCCACTAGAGGGCACTTCTTGGATTATAGCACACAAAAAGTGTGTTATATGACGCTGGACGTCTTCACGCTATGTGAGGACCTCCAGCGTTGCTGAAATCCCCTTAGGAAAGCATTGAAAGCATTTTTCAATGCTTTCCTATGGGGAGGTCTAATGCACGTTCGCGGCATT